AACATGTGATAATGGAATACACAGCTCGTTAAGAGAATGAGACATACAGCAAAAAGAAAGAGCAAGCAATTGTTCCTCGTTGCAATTGAGAATAAGGGTGATGAATGGAAAACGTTCAAAAAAAGAATGAGAGCGAATTCCTTCTCAAATGAAAACAACAAACCTTATCAGATGGCGTTTTGAAGTGAAGATGTCCGGCAACTGTTCTCCAGAAATTATCTTTGTCATGAATGGAACTACCGTACATCTGATTGTATGATTTCAAACCTGCATTGCAAAGTTTTCACTCACATAAGATCCCTTTATGAATTGATGACAATGAATTTTATTAGGGTATTTTTAGCAAAGTTTTTTTTTCACTCAAATCGCATCGAAGAGCTGATGTGATAAAATTGACTCGTTCGTTTTTTGGTTTATTACATGCAATTGCTTGATTTAATCAAAGAGTGAACGTCAATGAGTGATTTGCAATTGATCGAGCAACGATCGCTGAATTGATTCACCTTCGGTGTAAAGATGTCTTTTCGACTGATGATGTCCATCATGCACTACCGCTGCGGTTGTTGGTAGCTGTTTTTTGAGGATTGGAGCGCAACGCCGAGCCACAAGCTGCCATGTTGATCCCGGAAGTCGCGCTAAAGGCAATAAACCCATCACAGTCATGATCTGAAATCATCGAATAACTAACAACTCATTTATAGCATACTATCTTAATACATCAATCGCTCGTTTAATTAAAATCACTGTCGAAGAATAAGCAATGGCGATAATAAGTTACGCCTAGAACTCTCATTTAGTCATCCACATTTCAGTCATGCTCACTCAACGGAGTGCTTCTAAGTGCATGAGTTAAAATATAAGATTTGAAATTGATAATTTGAAATTGATAATTTTGATATACTTCTAAAATGCATCTTCTCTCCATCTCACATTCAGCAAATTTGTTTGCAGATATTCGACTGAAAATGATCTGACACACCGTGTGTTATGAACAATAATGATATAAACTATAGAAAGTTGATGAATAATAATGCTTGGGGAGTATTAATAGCATGGCCATGGATATTTTACTGGTTGCTTGACTCAAGAATATGGTGAATTCAGAATTGGAACTTATCAATAAACCAAACATTGTTCTTGAAATGAAGCAATCAAATATAATTGCTCCGTACAGATGATGAAATCAGTGAAATTGAGTAATTTTATGATGAACTGCAGGTTGATGATAACAAAAGAAGAAGTTAACTGGTGCTGATTAGGAAAAGATAAGAAGATCATTTGGGTTGGTGAAATTCGAAGACTGGAGATTGAGTGCTGAGGATGTGTGCTTTTATAGGGTCGCTTTTGTGGAGAAGTGAAGCGATGTGAAACGAACAATTATTTGGTTCAAATCAACCAACCAAACAACAACAGTTGTTTTCTTCATATTCGTCCATCCACTCAAAATAATTCTCTGAACGAAGTCGGTTAATAGACTTCTTGAATCGATTTGTTACCCATTAAACATGACTCGTTTTTTTTTGATAAAGCGGTACAATGATACATTTCGTACCAGGAACTTGAAGAAGAGTTACGACATATTCAGGGAAGTGATTGATGTGGTGACGATAAGAATGATCTGCTGAGATCATTGCGACAGACTGAGAAGTATCACTTCGAAATGCTCACTGAATTTGTGATTAGAATTGAAAGTTGTGAGGTGAACGTGGTGAATAATGACTCAGGCAAGCAGATTGTGCGAAACACTTCAAATGCATGCATTCGTTCAACCTGACGATCAATGAAACTCGGAGGGTTTAAAGAAAGGACTTATAATGCTGCATCTTTGAAATTAATGAGTACTGTTCCTGAGAAGACGATATAAGTCGGTGATGATGACGGTTGAATATTGCCAGATCATGACAATTTTATCCAATTGATCAGAAGGAATCGAATGTTGAATTGTTTGATTCGATTCACCACTATTATCAGCAGTATTTTTCTCAGTTTGAAAATTCAGTTTCAAAGTTGTTTAAGAATCAGGAAGTTCATCGACCATTTTTAACGCTGTTTTCAATGCATGAAGCATCAGTCGGAACTGTAAAATATGTGAATAATTCTAGTATGGATGATAATTAGTTATTATTATTTACTCGGATGGAATGTGAAGGATTATTTGTTCGAACGAGATGGAGTAGGATGTCGTATATAAGCCGCATTATTTCTGTTATCATTTCCATATGAATCGTCCAAAACAGGTTGAAAGTTCATAATTTTGTGTTATTCGATAGTGATGAAAAAATGGCAAAAAATTTTTGGTTGAAAACAATTGAGTTTAAGGATGAATTTTTTCTGAAAGCTTTCCATTCATCAATGTCTTGAAAGCAGAGACTGATCATCAATTATCTGGTCTGAATTGAACAAACACTTGCAAAATACCTTCATCAATCAACTTCTTTGCAGACTTTTTTGATAAAACAACGAATAATTTTATTTGTTTGTCTGAAGAAAGATTAACGAATAATTCAGGCGCAAGGTCCAATGAAACAAAATGTTCGTTCATATCGAACAAAATCAATGCCATTTTAGTGCCAAAGAGATTACAATCTCTTGAAAGATTCGATCAGATTCTGATTTTGTTGAATATATGAATGTAAATGAAGAAGTGGAGACATTTGACATATTATATCCGAATCTCAATAATGCAATATGTTAACATCATGTGATGTAATACAATACGATATTTAACACCATCGTATTGTAAGGACTTCTTAATCAATTGCAGAGATATTCTTAATTTTGGTTTTGTTATCAAATCAATCAATCGTTTTCAAGCATAAATCATATTCATTGCAAAGATATTATGAAGCCCGATAAAATCCTAAAGAATCCCATCAATCGACCATAGAACAGAAATCATTTTGAATTCACCAAAATTCTATCCTTCATTTAGTTGTTCTACCCGTTGTTTCTTCTATCTGCAATCGTATTCCATTCATGAGTAGTGCTGAATTGAATTGAATTGCTAGATTCAGTTGCAATTATTAGTCGAATTCGCTTGGCAGTACTATTCAAGCATACAATTAATTTAGAACACGTATGGAACGAGTCGAAATCGAACAATGGCACATTCCCAGAACGAAAAACTTGGACCGCTCGTATGAGTGAGGATTTAATAAGTGGAACAAGAACTAATCATTCAGAAACTTTTTTTTCGAATGGTTTTAGGAACAAAACGACCTCGTTGAAACAGCAAAAACATCTCAGAGTCAGTGGATCTTTACTTTGATCGAGAATCACCTGTTCAAGAGAGCATCACTTAACGAACTGTTCCATCACAATCAACACAACTTAAGATTGTGATTAGATGGATCACTTTCATATGAACGTCAGGAGAAATTGAAACTGCATCAGACGAGATCATTAATCTAATTTATTTTGTCCTCATCGGAAATTATTGACTGACGATTTAGACACTACTTACTTTTTTGATCAGTATTTTGGAATATAAATCCCACCGACTAATAGCATTGTCAGCAGCTTTTCTTTGTTTAAGGTTAATGAATGATTGTTTCATGTCGATAAAAAATCAATAGAAAAACAGCTCAATAAAAGTATCAATCCTACCAAATAGAATGAATTTTTTGTGATTTAATGTTCCCGGTTCGAAGATGCTGCTGGATTTAAATCTTCCAAACATGCATCACTGGAGCACTGATCTAAAAAAAAAAGCTTTAAAAATAGCATTAATGCTACATGATGCACCTGATCATATGGATTGATGATTGAGTGAATCAATGGATGAATTAATTTGCAAAGAATCTTTGGTTATTAGTCCACAAATTAGACGTTCACAATTGATCAGCATTCATCTATCAATGAATGAGTGAATAGTTTTTTTTGGCATTTTCTAGATAGCTCACCGCATTTCCAAGCAAAATTTTGAATGAAAAACTGAAAATTTGCTCCAAACCCATCAACTTGACTATTACATTCTAAACAACAACTCTCTGATTCGGTTGAATCTGATGAAGCAAATTTTGTCTCGACGTGCAGAAAGTGACAGATCATGCGAGTTCAACTCCGAACATTGCTATTCCTGTTCAGTGCCTCAGCAGCGAAATCGACCCCCGCTAAAACGCTCCTTGGTGTTTTGAAACTTTCAGCCATTTCGCAATTCCATCTTTAAGATATTCGTTCACTTCGGTAACCTTGCCAAAACATTCTAGATGTGGATCACGAACTGATCAAAGCCCCCCTAGTGCTCGTTCCTTGGGCTTCTTTAACGACTTCTGAGGAAAATTTTCACTTGAACATCATGGCAGACATAGATTTGCCTCTGAGGAGCGATATAAATGGATTTTGGTTTGCTGATACAAAGCAATCAAACAGGCAATGGTTTTGCTGATACTGTGGTCACAGAGCAAAAGTCTAAGACGATTCAGTGAAGTTTATTCGGAGATAATTACCGTCAGGCACTGAATGATCAAGTGGAAGTTTTCTGTTTTGGAGTGATAATTCAGAATCGGTCAAAATTTTGAACTGATTGAAAGAAAAAATGTCTCCAAGAAGAAAAAGAGTGGACTTTGTGCATGGGTGGATAAGTGGGAACAAACAAAAATATTGTACATTCGGTTTTTTGGCGCTATCGTCGTTTTCGAAACATTGTTCCATTTTTCTACAGATTTTAGGGTGTAACAACAATGTTTTGAAGTTTTTGAAAAGTGCTCACGAGCTATTTTTTTTAAGGTGAATGAAGTGTTCTGTGCTCTTCTGAGCGATTGTTGAATCAATCGAATATTTTTCAACGAACTGATTAAAGAGGTAACAACTGTTGAGTGATGAGGGATCAGTGGTGCCATTGATGGTTCATTTGTTTTCAGTTTTGTAAGAAATAAAGGAGAGATATAATGGGATGGGATGATGAAGTGGAAAACGGGAACTATGAATGAAATGAGATGGAATTATTTACGATATTTATCATTATGATGTTGTATTGATGAAGGAGGACGAAGGCATTTAATTGATTTGCTGCCGATCTGCTGTAAACTTATGTTGTGTTTCATCCGAAATATTGTTCATTTTCACATTTGAAATCAAACTGCTCTCGAACAGGCAATTGAGTTGCCGAAAAAAATGGCTGTTAAAAGCTTTTGAGGGCTGAAAAACATCAGAGCAAAAGGCACTTGATAATCATCACGGCTTACTCATAAGATGAAAGAACGTATTTTGATCCTAAGAATTGACATTTTTGAAATTGGTCTATTTATAACGATGAATCTCTCTTTCTCGAGAAATAACACAAACGGCACACGGCTGGAAAAAAAGTTTAGAATCATTCTGAAGCCTTATTGTTCAAACCTTGGAAGGTCAAAGATGGAATGAGAGCTTTTGGCCCCAACCATTACAGTGCGTGGCGCTTCGGGGCATTGAGTGCCTCTTCATGGAGGTTCCGTAAGGACATAGGAAATCTTGAATAGAAATCTTTTCTTTCAGCAGTACAACTATATTTGAGAGGGTGCTTACTTTGTTGGAGTGTTCCATTATGCACCGATATAAGAAGGATTAATGAGCATTCAAAGCCAATCCTTATCAAAAGTCTCAAAACTTTCGCATGGTACCGAATAGAGCAACTTCTGAGCTAAACTGAAACTGACTGTCATTGAGATCATATTGTATCTTCAGAGAGCGTAATCTCATTCAATCGAATAGCAACTATTTCATCTGAACACTGTAAGATTCATAGGAATGCTAATACGAATTTTTCTGCTTGGCAGTGAATTTGTTGAAAGAATTGTTTTCATTGTAACTTTTTTAGTTACCTTTCCTTCTGTACTACGAGTTATGGTTTTGCTCTGATTTATTCTCCATAAAAATGGTTTTGTTCATCATCTGTTTCTAAACACATAAAGTAATTGTTTTGATTGTTGTTTGCGTCTATTGGCTTGTCGATGCTAATCCAAAAGGCAGCTAGATTTCATCGAATTTAGTTAGTATGAAAGAGACTCTATTTTCAGTTTAATTTTCAACCGAATTCATTCTTCTGATGTGTTCAATAATGTAAAATATGATCGACTTGTGTAATACCCTCTTTCCTCTGGTGGTTATTAATATTTGTTTGAATTTTTTAATTCATGACTGATTTCATGAGTTCGACGATGTCTGTCAACTTTGTGTTAATATTTTTAAGTTTGTTTGTTAATCTAGGATTGCTTTAAAGCATTTTCACGCCGACAGAATGCATTCATCCATTTACATTTCTCTGTGAAGTTCAAAATCGCGACACTTCATCTTTATTATCTCTTTATTTTCATTGCTGTTTGGCTGATTAATCTACCACACCATTTTAGGATGTTTGCGAGTGATTTTCACAACTGATTGTTGTTACATGAATGAGCATATCGAATTATGCATAGGTCTGTTAATTAATTTGATCATTCCATCAGCCGTTTATTTATTCATCCGTGCAGCCATACATATGTTATCATTATTGTCGCTGTCATTAATCTGTAATAAATATTTCATATCATTGAACATAGAGTTTATTGCATTACCTCTCTCATACCGAGCACGTAAACGAAAACGATTCAAGTGAAAACTGAACGATTAGCACGTGAATTCGAAGATGTCATTATCGCTATGATGGGTGATGACTGGTGATTGGAGCAGTTGTTTTGGCTGGTGTGTGGTACTGACTGACAATGAATATCATTATTGTAATGGTGACTAAATTATCACAGTTTCACCCGAGTATTTCTTTTGAACGTCGATATTTCATTCTGATTCATCACTAGTGATCATCTGCAAAACCATAGGAGATGTGAGCAAAAGATCAAAAACTCACAAGATATACGAAAAACAATTCATCCGAAACCATTCTAAAACTTACAGTATTTCAAGCCGGTATTCTGGAACTACTCTTTAGCACTAGAGAAGTACTGTGCGAGTTCTCTTTTGCATTGAAGAGTACTATGCGAGTTCTCTTTCATCCAAATCGTCACTGTCATTCGTGCTAATCTTCGGCTATTATCAGTGCATATTCGCATTAATTAACAACTGTCCGGAAATCACATTTTCCCGATAATATTTGCACAGGATTAGCACAACTGGAAGAGTCGATTTTGGAGAGTGTATTAATGGCACTATTCCTTTTCTGTGTCCTTTTAGGCAGTATGCGGCTGATGGCGACAAAGAGGTGATTCTTCTTGATCATTACCATCAACCTTGAGCTGTATTCATTGTTTTATGAAAAAAGAAATCTGAAATGGCGTTGACATGTCACTATATATCTAATTATTCCCATTTGAATGGCGAAAATTGAGTGTTACTGAATACTGAATATAAGTGTAATTCAAAATGAACAGAGCTGTATCATGTGCTGTGTTCTGTCGAATTCCGAACACTTCAGAACGAGGGTCCCAAGATCGGGATCCCGACTTAAAAGTCGGAATTGTGACATGAAGTCGGAATTGTGACATGACCGTTTAATTTATGAGCATCAGCTTTATTATTGTGTTTATCACTAATTATGATTTTGCTAATGACACTTTTCGTGGGAATGCAGTTGATGGCTTGGATTGCAACGTAAGCGTCGAACAGAAGTTGAAAACTTTATGCCAAATAATAAATTATCATCGAAGTGAACCACAGAACCGAATAATATCTACGATAAAATATTCACCCTAAAACTACATCTTGCTCAGTCATGAATGAAACAGAGACTCAATCGAAATTAAAGAGTATTGTGTAGCGATCTAAGATACTGAGAAATGCACAATGATGGGGATAATACAAGACAAACACCACAGTTGTTGAACGAATTACTAAATTAATGATTAAAACAGTGAATAATTCGTACACATCTTACAGATCTGACACTGCATGACATTGAATGTTAACACTGAAGAGTATTAATCAATCGAACAGATCCAATATGAAAACACTCAGCGGTAAGAGTAGGATAAGCTGATAACTGAATTAGATAGGGACTAGGCGGGGAGGGGGAAGGGGAGCACAGCAAGCAATTATGGATAAAAGAAACTGATGTTAGATAAATGAGGGAGGAGGGTAGAATGGCACGGAGATCAGAAACACAATAATCAGAAAAAACGATAGAAACTGGAAAATAAATTAAACTGAATTATGGATGACCACTTATTTATAATTATAACTGATTTATATGAGAATTGGATTGGTTACATCGTCATTCACATATTACATCATATCGCATAATATAATTATTCAATTACTTATAAATAAACTAAAAATGAAGCAAATGAGATTATTTGGATGAACGAATTAAAAAGATCACTGGAAACGAACGCGAAAACGAATGGAGAGGGCAACTGGGTGTGTCATGAACGCAATAGAATGTCTGACGGTAAAAGGGCATAAAACACAGATGACAGCAGAAATGTAGGGACAGGGGACAGCAGCAGATGATAAGGATGGATATTCAATGTCCGGATGAGACTGCGGTGCACATGAATCAGTGGCACCGGGTATGAATCCGGGTACGATTGTCGCAGTTCGCTCTATCCGGTACGCATCGACATACGTCCAGTCCAGAGGTGACTGATCACCGATTCATCAAGTAGAGTCGTCGTGTCACCCAAATCCGCGCCTTGATCTCCCTCGGCTATCTTACGTAGAATGCGACGAGTTACCTTGCCTAAATCATGATCACTACCAATCTCAATACAACATTCCTTTAATATCTTCATTATTGCCATCAAAACAACGAAAATAAATAAAACATTCGTTAATATATTAATTTCTATTGCCCAATAAAAAGAAAGATAGAAACACGACTGCAATGCGACTAACCGGAACGTGTTTTCGGCAGTCCGGGAGCCTCTTGGATGACGTCCGGAACGGCGATCGCTCCAATCACACGACGTACCAACTGCTTGAGATTGTTCACTTTCTCGTCGGTCAATTGAACACCCTAAATTCACTTTCTGAGGATTGACTGCACTAATCAGTGACCAAATTGATCACTGAGCAAAACTGATCAACTGAATACACTCATTGAATAAACCAATCACTCAATCATATTTAAAGGTAAGTAATATTCACCTAAGCAGATTGGAAAGGTATTGCTGAACTAACATTTCTGAGCGAAACGAAGGCGTACGGGAAACTGCCTTTGATATCGTGTGGTGCTGCCACCACAGCTGCCTCAACCACATCGTCATCGGACACCAACGCTGACTCTATCTCAGCCGTTGATAGGAGATGACCCGAAACATTCATCAAGTCATCGACACGACCTCAAATTCAAACTGCTACAACACTGCCAATGGACGACGTTCTATTGCAGACAGATGACAAATAGCACTAACCAGTGATCCACAGGTAGCCATCATCATCACGACGTGCACCATCACCAGAGAAGAAGAAGCCTGGGAATGAAGAGAAATAGGTGGACACATAACGTGAGTGATCACCGAACACCGTACGACATATACCCGGCCAAGCACGTTTGATGCACTAAAATTTCTCCTCACAATCAGTTGTCATCAAACGAAAATGCTCAGCCAAGCTGAACTTCTCACTTAAAGTTTCTTGAATCATAAGAATTCAAAGCAAATGATCGATGCTCCCTTCACCAATTCTGACTAATTCCGTTGTTTGTTAGAATGCGAATTTGCTACGTTCCACTCGAAAGCAAACGAATACCACCG